TTCGTTTCTCACGAGTTATCGCATCCAAGAATACGTTTACGTCGCTCTTCAGATAAAGAAGATGAAGTTGACAACGAAGAAGTACATTACGAAGTGTCAGCTTTTGGGAATAATCTTCATCTTCACTTAAAGCGAAACAGAAGGCTACTGACGCCTGCTTTTAAAGTTGAAGTAATCGGCAAGAATGGTAGAGTAATGAAAAGACATACTGTGGAAAATTGCCATTATGTTGGACGTTTAAAAGCCAAGTCGATATCAACAGTAGCAATAAGTAATTGCAACGGACTGGTAGGTACTCCATACCATCATTAATGTAACAATTTCATAAAATGATACGCCAGAGATGTTTCAAGACTAACCTCTCATTTAATCCATAACTCATGCATTTATGCGATCAATCCAAACACTATTCATTAATTCATTGATAACAAACAATTTTGTTTAGAGATAGATGGAATTTTCTGCCTGAATTCTTCTTTCCGGGAAAAGAAACTGTCTAGTCTAAATGAAAGCAATGGAAGCAAATGTGTGGTCATGTCCGGGATACCTGCCCCTAAAATGACCCGTCAAAGGCAGGTCATAAGAAAGCAGTACAGCCAGGCTTTTCACTTAAAACCCTAACTGTTTTGATTGGAACTCCGTGTTTTTCGTAGGTAGAAAAGATCACGCGTACAAAGAACATGCAAAATATCGGAGTAAATGTTATTCCATTAATTGTTAAAATGTCGCCGACTATCACTATCACGTTTAAACATCTATCGATCATTTCTCGTGCAGGACAAAAAAATTGAGCTGTTTTCCAAACAGAGATAAATAATTCATCATGCATGGTTAAGTACGGATAAAGAAAGTAACATCCACATAACTGAACCTGTCAGTAAGCCATACGCCTTGTTAATGGCTTAGCCAACCAACAATTTTTCTAAAGCTCAGAAGGTTCGAGATTCGAATCCTTTAGGGGAACTCAGCTCTTTTCTTATCCTACGCTTGTGATAAATGAGCAGCTTCTTTCGTTATGGTTATAGATAATTATTGTAACCATTTCTTTTTCAGAGTGGACTTATTCACACTGAGGACGAAGCTTACTTCATGGAACCGCTTCCAGTTCACTTGCACAACAAAGTAACAACACGCGGCAGAAGCAAACCCCACATCATTTATAGAAGATCTATTAACTCAGATGCAAAACATAACTTTCATGTTGTTAAAGAAAAAAGAGAAATACACACTTGCGGAACCGCAGGTAGGGGATCAGTTGTGACTTACCGCCTGGGGGGAGGGGTCGGGAGATTTTCGGGGGAGCTCGGGGTTTTCAGAGGAAACGGAAGAGGGATCAGTGGTTTCTAACAGATTTTTATGGGAGGACTATGAAAAATTGACTGCCAATGTGGAAGATCATTAAAATATTACAGAGCCTTATGAAAGGATCAGACAAACATTTTTATAACACAGCCAAAATCATCCGAACATTCCCTCCCCAAGACGAACAATAATGACCAATCCCTAAAATACTTTGCTCTGAACGATTAAGTTGGTAATTCACTTCAAGAGGATATTCTCTTTTGTTCTTATTTTGTACGAATGCATTTCAAAGAGTTTTCCTAACGCCTCTTTTCCGTTGTGTAGATGACCCACGTATTCGCTTAGTACGAGCATTGAATGATACGCAGCAGTCTGCACGGCGTGGACCAGCAGGACCTGGGGAAGAGAAATACATTGAGACTCTGGTGGTGGTTGATCCAAAGATGACGAACTATCACGGAGAAGACGCCGCCAAACAATATGCACTGTCTGCTTGTAACATAGTAAGTGATTAAACCAGTTAAAGAGAGGGGAATACCCCTGGCCTACTTCTGGTTTATCTACTTCGAGGAGGTCACACTGTCCACTCCTTGGGTTAATGAGCGTCACTCCTTAAATAAAGTTTATTTATTGATTGATTGATTGATTGGTGGTTTACACTTGTTGGTCAGTTTGAGTGAACAGTGTAAAATCTGTAAGCAAAGCTTTCTCGGTATTGATTCTTGAATCTTTTCGACTTTGACGGTAGAGGTGGGAGGGCGGAGAAGGGGTGTGCCGCGCCCTCCTGTTTCGGTGTTGACAGCATCACTCACTTGGCAGGAAATTGGCCTTGAATATTATTGAATGTCGTGATCTTTTCATAAATCTTTTTTATCGTGATTGAGCTTGGCGAGATAACATGTTGTGAGACCAACTTCAGCCTATGGGCCACATAAATCAAACAATGGCAAGGGAGTGCTCTTGCGAGGACTGAGCTGACGCCACCGCTCCTCATCGATCTAGATTCCCTGAAGATTACTTTCGACTCTCTCTCTAGGTCAAACACAATACTCAGTGTCCTGCGGCAAAGTCTAAACAGAAATAGAAAGCTGATTCACCTAAGCTAAGTCTTGCCATTGTCCCCTCCACTCTTGTGTTTCAAAACGCTTTGCCGCTTCTGATTGTCTATACGAGACGAGATTTCTAAAAATATTTGCTGAAATTTCCGGCAGTTGCCAAGTCGTCGCCGAGAACTGTCTGAGCGTATTTTTGTGTCAAAGGGAAGTCATTGTTTTGTGCAATGTGATACTTCCCAATAGAATCCCCTCCTTTGAATTCAGATGCAGAGATGTATGCGTGCATATGAGAAAAAAAAATACCGCACAGAAAATCACATGATCCGAGATGGCAATTTACATACGAAGCTAGGAAGGTCACTATAAAAAGAATGGCGCCCTAGCTTACTCCGATTGTAACAATATTTTAATCAATTGATTTCTTTAGGCCTCAAACCTCCTTCGAGATGGAAGCATTGGCCAAAATCCCATCAATTTTGTTGTCAGTAGAATGCAGATTCTTACAACTCCACAGGTAAAAAGATATTCTGTCGGTATTTTCGTGGCATTGGTGTTTTGTAGAAAAGAAAATGTATTCCTAACTCAGCGACAGCTTCTGCGAGTACAGTCCACCGATCAGAGATTACAGCGGCCATAACTGAAGAATACGCTAAATTGTGAATAACTTACATCTTCAAAATTAAGAGGAAACGCAACTTTTACGAGAGATACTCTCATTATGTGACTGAAGTTTGAGACAAGTGCATAATGCAGTCGCGGTTAGGCATAACAATGGCATACCGCAATCGATCGTGGCCCACCGTTCACGATTTCAATCACTCTTTGAAATATGCAACTAAGCATAGGCTCATACTTTTCAGTAACGACTGCTTCAATGTTAACTTTGTAATGTTTTTTCTCAGACTGGGCTGGTTATCAACCACCACGCAAGTAACACTCTGGAAAGCTTCGGCAGATGGGCGGAGCGGAATAATAATCCACTGGATAACGATGAAAATCATTATGATTATGCTACGCTCTTTACCAGGTAGGTCCACCCTGGAACACGAAACGCGCCGATATTATTCAATTAACAGTTACACTAGCATAATATTTTTACATTTTGTTAAGGTGTAGCAAATTAGAGGGTTCGGCAAGATCTCCGTATAACCCCATACTTCATTATGCATTCAATATGTGGATGAAGGAAAGCAGAGGCAAAAAAAAAACAGATTTCTTTTGGACTACGGCTTTGTTTTTGATTGGTATGGGGTTATGGAAATCTTTGCAATTAATGGGAATAAAATAAAAGTAGTAATAGTGAAAATGTTGGAAGTTCAAATAGAATTTATAGATATTAAGAATATAAAACTAATGATAGGAATAGTTTCGTTAAAATGTGATTATTTGAGAATGATTTATTATTAAGTGAGATGAACGATTGCGTAAGAATTTGATTGTCTAAAATTGACTAGAAATTAAACGCTTAAAGTTTTCTCGTTACTGATATTTTTTTAACTCTTTCTTTACAGATATAATATTTGCAAGGACAAGAACCAACCATGTGAGATATTAGGTACTATAATTACATATTTGCATTTAGTTCTCGAACCTAGTTATTTAATCGGACTTCTTATGATTGGCAGTATAAATAAACGCATACTACGATGAATATATGAAGTTCATATATTTTGAACTGCGGTTATAGATACGTATGATGCACGATCCTCGCAGTAGAGAGCGCTATTTATGCAATAGCGAAAATCAAACCTGAAAAAAATCAGGCCTGTACGGGCTTTGAGCCACTGGGAGCAGGCCGTTAAGTTGATTCGTAATAAACCCGTCATGATAATTCAAATACGATGAAAATATGAAGTTCATATATAATAAATAGCGCTCTCTACTGCGAGGATCGTGCATCATACGTATCTATCACCGCAGTTCAAAATATATGAGCTTCATATATTCATCGTATTTGATTTATCATCTCAGGTTTATTACGAATCAACTTAACGGCCTGCTCCCAGTTGGCTTGTTAGCTCAATTGGTAGAGCGCTGCACTAGTATCGCAGAGGTCAGTGGTTCGAATCCCGTACAGGCCTGATTTTTTTCAGGTCTGATTTTCGCTATTGCATAAATAGCGCTCTCTACTGCGAGGATCGTGCATCATACGTAAACGCATACTGTAAGAATTCTCTCTATTTAAAAATTGGGGGACGCAGTGACCCATTCAGGAAGCCCCCTGGACTTCAAGTAGAAGTCTTCATTCGTAGCTTGGACCGGTTATCACTTCGTGTTTCTTATAAGACATTTTACTCTGGAAACCTTTATCTCTCTCTCTCTCTCTCCACTCAGAGGTATAAATGGGTATTGATTATCTGTCAGAATTACGTGAATGCTGGAGGTTACCTGCGAAGGATTCAAATCTCGACCAGGGGGTGGTAATGTTCCCAAAGGCTTTATGTAAACGAAACCGCAGAAAAATTGCCTTTAATGCAGACTCACATTCATGAAACTAGTACAAATGTTTGGTGTACTTTGCTGACCACTCTAATATTTCTGGCATTTGGACAGGTCTAGCAAGGACACGTGGAATGTGCGACTTTCCGAACTCGGCATGTGTTGGTCAAGACAGTGGTTTGATGCTTGGGATGACTCTAGCTCATGAGACAGGACACAGGTGGGTTAGAGATTAGTATAAATTCCCATCTTCAAGTTGCCGAGAATCCAAATTCCCCTTCGTTAAAAAAACGTCTAGGATGTCTTAGACGGTTCTAATCAATTGGGGTTTATTTCCTTAGACAACAAATTCCGCGATCTTACTTACAAAGTCAAAAATTTCGTATCTAAAGCAAACAGAGATAGTATTCGTTTTCCTTCACTTCTCTCGATGACTGATGTGGAAAACTTGCGCCATCCTCTGAAACAAGCAGCTGCGAAATTGAATCTGATCATGACTTGGGCGCTAGGGTTGGGCTCGTCCCAAAGTGTCTACTTCGGGTCCGCATTGGCTGCTTGTGATCCTCTCTTTAGTCCATATCGGCCCTTGTGATCCTTAAAAAAGATCTAAAACACCTCCATCATGTTCAATAAACGTGAACGTCCTCAACTGTGTTTTTATTTCCCCGAATACTAATCGGTGAAGTTTCTTGACATAAAACACCTTTTGTGAAAGTGTATTCTACAATTAAGATTATGCATGGTTGGATGTATATGTTCTATAGTCCTGGAACTTCTGCCTTCAACAGGCAATCCAGCCGATAAATAACATAAAGTTAGTGTAACTAAACTAAAGCAGTGGATAGCGTTGAAGGCGCGCCCTGATTGTCTGCTCAAACACTAAATATCCTTTCCTGCACACCTCCGAGCAAAGCGAGAGCCAAATTCGCGCTCGAAAATAATATTATTGTAATAAAGAAAATTAGTTAAAATCATCTTTGTGTGCTATATTATCCCGCTTAATTAGTACATAATAATATCCACCACCAGCCACTTCCGCTTCGGTGAATAGTTCTTAACTATTAGAATTGCGATTATAATCATGAGAAAGGTTTTGGATTTTTTAGATGATTCAATGTTGCTCGATTGATTTCATTTAATAAAGAACATGATTAGTATCCTTAATATTGCAGAGTGATATAGCAGCCTGAACAATAAACTCAGAATTTTCTAACATTTCATCAGCTTTAAGTTATTCTCAAGGGCATGAGTAATTATCTATTTCCAGTCTTGGAATGAAGCACGATGGAGGAGCCTGCCCTGATGGTGTAAACATCATGGCGTCCTTACCTGCTGGGAAAAAGTCTGCTTTCTCATGGTCACCCTGCAGTAAAAACTATCTCCAGCAATTTTTGAAGTAAGTTGCTTTCGTTTGAATGAACAAATGTAGACACACTTCAATACAAAAGAAAAAGTCTATGAAGACTATTGTGTCTCGTTTTCGTCAGTTTTAAACTGACACGATATGAAAGAGTGTTTTTTTTTCAAGTTGAGCTATTTACTATTGGGGATTCGTCAGGTCATTGAGGACAAAATGGAAAAAGGTGTTTGACAGACTTTTAAAATCGACTTCATACAAATCGACCGCTGTGTGATGTGAAATTGTCAGGTTAAAATTAGCAGCTACCATGCTGTCACGGATCCAGATTATATAACTAAGCGACAATTTACATCTAATGTTCAAAATCAATTTGCTAATCAATTGCTAGTGACCGCAACAGTTAGGCACTTTTCTTTAGTCCTAACTCCTGACAAGAGAGCAAAATGTCTTGCCCCCGAGAAGTCATCGTACACAGGCTTCAGGTTACGGAATTCTCACTTTTTACTTATCTTTTCCAGTTCAGATGATTCCCGCTGCTTAGATGATAATCCAACCAAAAAGAATATCATAGAGACTAGGACCCTCGACAAACCTGGAAGACTGTACGATGCGGATGAACAATGTCAGCTGGCTTACGGTCAGGCCGCTAAGTTTTGCGGCGGAGGAAAGTTTCTGGACGTGAGTACTAAGTGTGATATAATTGAGTGTCAATCAATACTCAAATTTATGATAGACATTTTCGTTCCGATCTGACCAATTTTCAATCCGTCATCGAACGTACCTCGCGATTGGAATGGTTTTGCTTTATTCTCCAAGCTCTCCGTCAATCAGCTGCGAAACTTGTATTAGCCACTAAAGCCGTACCTGGTTATTCGCGATACCTCGCCCTTGATGCAGTTTTACGAATATGAACTCTGCGACCTCGTGATTCGTCTCAAACGATAATTTTTTCCATGTTCTAGTAACTGGAATTAAGACTATTATTTTTAGGCAAGGTAAAAAAATTAATTCTTCTGTTGGCTTGGTCTCATACAACATTTCTACTGAACATCTTCTAAATTGCGTTTTGTCATTGAAAATGGAAGAACAAACAGTTTTTTTAAATCACTTGCGTTCTCTACATGAACCTACATTAAAAAGACATGTCCAATACTAGCATATACAGTGGAAATTTACTTCAGAAAACTTACCTTGTTGCAATATTACCTTTATTCGCAAGTGTTTCCATCTGACAAATAAAGCGGACGTTTAAGGCAACTCTTTTGTAAAAAGTGAGAAGTTGTCACTCTTGCTGATTTTTTCGTTCGTCGTGATAAAATATCTTTTTAATGTGCGGGATGTAGCAAATCTGCGTGAAGCTTTGGTGTGAAGTACCCGGAGGAAGCGGAAACTGCAAGACGGCGGAGATGCCGGCAGCAGATGGAACACCGTGCGGAGATAGCAAGGTGATATGATCACTGTTTCAATAAAGACAGGTTAGAACAGGGTTATTACGAGAGAGCTCGCCTCTCAAGGTGGTGGTCCAAGGTAGAGTACCGGAAACCACTTCACAGCAACCTGTAGCTGGTTGGTCAGTCTCTTTCCCACAGATTTTCTCTCCAAGAACTCTGGGTTCAAAATTGCTCCTTCACCTATACGAATTCATCGAAAATTTCTCTGATGTACAACTCTCCATTTCCTTAAGAGTTTTCCACATTTAATTTTTCGATAAAGGGGATCGCGATTTAAACGTTGAGCAAGCTAATTTTTTCCCTCCCTGGTTTTCCCAGTGGTGTAGGCGTGGTCAGTGTATTCAGCTTGGTACTGAGGGCGCCGACACTGTGGACGGTGGTTGGTCGGAGTGGTCTGCTGAGTATTCAGACTGCAGCAGATCGTGTGGGGGAGGGGTGCATTACAGGGAACGAAGATGTATCGCACCACGGTAAAAAACAAATAGTTTTTCTGTTTCGTGTTTTTTTGTTTGTTTTTTTAGTTTGCTTTTCGGTTAAGTTCTCTGCTGAAATATAAAATTTGTAAAACCGGAAAAAAATTTAAATATTATAACTTATTCCTGTGTTCATCACTGGCAAGTAGTTTCTTTTTTGTTTTGATTTTTACCTTTCATTAAAAAGAAATTTGAAACGTTCTTGTTGTTAACCTCACAAAGATGAAATATTCAATTGAAAAACTACTTTCCTCCACCTTCAGCCCTAAAAACGGCGGGAAACGATGCGAAGGAGAAGAAAGAGAGTATAAGCTCTGTAATACTGCGGTAAGCTATAACCCCATTGCATCTACATTTTTTATCATTCATCCAAAATTCATAGCAAAGCAACTGAAAGCAACATTGCAACTAGTAAAATAGACAGGGATTTGTCGTAACTGATCATGAATTCCACCCCTTTTTCCTCCCAGCCCGTGAACTCAGCAAATACAGTGTAAGTTTGGCAGATTTGCGTATAGAACAAGAAGCTACAAACTTCCTTCTCCTATGAGAAAGAATGTTGAAATTCTGTTTTTCCAATGTCTAGGCCTGTTCTCCTGATTCACTGGAATACAGGAACCATCAGTGTCAATTGAAGAACACTCAGCTGTTCAATGATCAGTATTACGAGTGGGAATGGAAACCATCAACTCTAAGTAAGAGTCTACAAAGTAAAAGAAAAACCTGCTGGGGTTTTGACTAATGTTACTTGGAGAACTCATACATGAACCTTGGGAAAAAAATCTTGTCATAAGCGAAGAGGAATAGCCAAAGTAAATTGGGGAGAATATCATGGGTGAAAAGTGATAAGAATTGTGGCAACAATATCAGAATTTAAGAGTGTTCAGTTAAGTGCGTAAATATTTGACTTAAAAAAAAATTACCAATATTACTCTTCCAAACCTTAAAAAAAATTGAAATTCCCATTTTATTTCTTAGATTGATTGTTCTTAAGATTAATAGACGTTTAGATTTTAAAATAATCAACAATACTTTTATCTGCAGAGAGCAAATGTGTTCTCGGATGTTTTATCAAAGGAACTGGGTTAGGTTTTGCTTTTGGAAATGTTGCTGATGGTACAGACTGTGAAAAGAATACTCTTGATAAATGTATCGAAGGACAGTGCTCGGTAAGATGATGAACAGTTCATTTTTTTTTCGATAAAGGTCAACGGCTCTCTTGTTTTATTTTTTCAAAAAATCATACCTCACTTTAACGAAGACGGAGTCGCACGCCGCTTATATCTCATAATTTATTGAGGCTTTGCTGTAGAGTATTAAGAACGGAGTTCTTGTCGTTTTCAAGGTTTATACTGATTTTGTCCAAACCTGGAATTCACTATGCTGTGTTCACATCTCAGAAGCCTCGAAGAGTGTCGTAAAATATCGTTTTTATCAGTTTCAATCCTCGCTTTAAAAGCTGTTGTTAGTGTAGACGTGATTAATCCATGCATCATTGTTTTTACAACAGAAAATTGGCTGTGATGGAATCATTGGTTCCAAAGCAGTTGTTGATAGATGCGGTGTATGCAACGGAGATGGAAGTTCGTGCGCACCTGGTTCCAGGGATAATGTGGCAAGAAACAGCACTAGCACGAAGAAGGCAGTCACTCCAGGAGCTGTCAATCTTATAACAAGCGCTTTGGATTGGTTAAAGCGGATGGGTTATGATGTAGACAGGCGTGGACAAATCGCTTCTCCCGAAAGCGCAACGAAAGACTCGCAGAAAGATAACTTTTACTGGGCCGTGGTTAAGTCTGGCTGTAGTGTTTCTTGTGGCGGAGGTAACGTAGTGTTCACCTTTTTGATCATTTCCCCTCCCTATCTCCGTTCTTGGTTCATTTAATGCCTCGGCGTCTATCAAATTTCTAGCGTTTCCGATGCAGCATTATTCAAAGGGGTTGCGTTCATTTCAAAGTCTTAAAACACTCCTGACAAAAATCATGGTAAAGCGTTTTTAAATAATAGACACTGGGAGCACTTGGAAGTATGCCTGTGTCAGTCAAAACATATTTTGCAGTAGACACGTTATAAAACAGAAGAAGTTTAAAGTTCCAATGTCTTATTTTTTTCCCTGGGAAAGAATTGTTATTGTCTGGCGATTAATATATACAATAATGATGATATAGATTACCGAGTTATATCACACATCTTGTTGTTTTTCCTATAATCCCCAAATAAACGTCGTATTCTTATCGGCTTCCGCGACGATTGGTAATTTTGCTCCCACTTACGATGCTAAATCGAAGTCGGCCTTTCATTGAGTAAATAGGGCATTCTCTTAAAGTACAATCAACATGGACTACATATCTTCAATTGCAACCATAGTTAATCGAGGGGACTGCAACGAACCCTACTTGTTCTGTTCCAATCACTTAAAGATATTTGAGGTAGAATTCAGTAGCTAACTCCTGCTTCTTATCATCCATTCTTACCAATAGGTTCAGAAGTGTCCTATGCTGAGTGTCGAAGGTCAGATGACGGCTCTCCAGTTAACGAAGAAAAGTGTGACACTGGTTTGAGACCGCCGAGAGAAACGGTTCACTGTAACTACCAACCATGCCCACCAGTGTAAGTTATTGTTAGTATGTTAGAATGTGAATAACTCTAACTTGACGTAACCTTACTTTTAGAAAGCTCTAATACCCCGTTGCATCATCTAAACGTGATTACTTAAACCACGTTTAACTGAATGAAAATCAGTAAGCGGGAACAGAAAATATGAATTTTCCAACGGATTCAGTCACGAACTTGTACTTTCAATGTACTCAATTGGAAGTCGACAAACATCTGAGTTTAAACAGCTTTTGTGAAGAAAACAATTTTAAAAGGTGTTTAACAAAACAGCTTCAAAAAAAGGTTTAAGCTTTGGTGTGAATGGGGAAAACGAAATATTTCTGTCAGTTTACCCATAATGCTTATGGATCTTGTTCTTAGCTAAAATCAAAAATGCAAGGACCAATAATGAATTAAAGATAACTGATGTTTACTCGTCTAAAGATTTCAAAAAAATTGCCTTTACTTTTCTCCTTAGCTGGAAACCAGAAGGTTGGGAAGATTGTTCTCAGACCTGTAACGGAGGAAACAGAACCCGTGAAATAAAGTGCATGCAGGTAGCAGCTGACGGTATTGAATATGACGTCGATTCCAGACTCTGCTCGGATCCTAAACCATCCATGGTGGAGGCATGTAATAATGTCCCGTGTCCACCCGAGTGGGTGGCTCAGCCATTTGGACAGGTATTTATCTGATTCATCATTACATAGAGATAACTGATTCTGTATAGTTAAGTATTACTAAGCATCTGGAGATGTTAAGATAAGGTAAGCGGGCTGGGTAATTTTAGATATAGACAAGACAATAAGACGAACACGTAACAAATTTACAACATTTACAATTTATGCTTGAAAATCTCTTTGAATCCGTGAAAATGAAGTTTGGCCGTTCGACAATTTTTGATCGATCTTGGAAGAAAATAAAACGTATTTCTGTGAGGAGGCACGGGAGGTGTGAAAGCCGACCATGGAGTGAGAAAAAAAAATAAATCCATTTGAAAGCTGAAAAATAATCAAACCGAGAAGGAGTTTGAGAATGTGTGGTTTAATGTTAACGTAATGAAGAATTGAAAACTGCCACAACATATCCTATGCATGGCGTGACCAAAGATGTATAGCAAAGTTCGTGTCTCATTTTGGGTGGGTGTGGTTTGTAAACTGTGGAAGATGTATGTTCGAACGAACGTTCTCTTTCTCTTTACCAACTCGATAGTGTTCCACAAGATGTGGGCGTGGTATTCAGAAGCGAACAGTGAAATGTATGAAGGCTGACCACAGAGGTAACCTGATGGACATGGAGGAAGCACAATGTGATGCGACTCTAAAGCCACCGACACATGAATACTGGAATGTGCACAATCCTTGTCCTGGAGATGGTAAGTTTACAGCCACCATTACTTACATAAGCCAACCCTCGTACTTTATTATTTGGGTTGAGGGAAGTAGGTGTTTAAAATACGATATCTGCAAACTTCAGCGTTTGAGCTTATTAAGTTCAAGTTAAATCACATGTAAAATGTTCACCAAGGTAGGTCTGGATGCACAACCTAAAATGACCTCAAATGCTTTCCTAGCTTTTAATCTTAAACGGGAGCTTTTGTCTAACAAGTCTGTATTAAAATTTCGGTTGTATTTCAGACAATTGTGGTGGAAACTTTACAACAGACGTTGGTACTTTCTCCTCCCCAAGCTACCCAGCAGACTATCCGGATAACAAAGAATGTGTTACAACTATCACAGTCAACCCCAACAAGGTCATCAAGCTTAACTTTCACAGGTAAAACTGAATTCTAACACTGTTAAGCCGCACTTAAATTAATTAAACTGGTAAGGTCTCCTTGACAAGTTCTTAAGAACTGTAACTTAGGAGCCTTCCCCAAGAACTGAAATGTTAGTTTCTGAAAAGAGAGACTTGAATCCTGCTTGTGTTGATGACTAGGTAAGGACACTTAAAAGGGAAATTGTATGAGGTTTAAGGAAATTTCTTCTCCGCCGACTCTTTAATGAGAACCATCTTTGATAAGTTTTCCCAGTCTCTGATTTTCAAAGAGAGCAAGTTTTCCTTACCAACTGCAAGTGCGTTTTAGAAGGAGATTTTACTTGTGTAAATGCGTCTGTAGGTGCATCGATGAGCAGTTTGAAATAAATAACTCACTATTCGTAAAAAATCTTCATGTCATTTATGAACGATTTCTGAAGGATAAGGGTTATTCGCAAGTACATGTGAATTGATCTTATGCATTTTTACGAGGTTCCAATGTAATTCTATGGCTCTTTAAGGTAACCACCAGACTTTGATTTTCAGTATGCAAGTAGTCTCTCCAGATGACACTTCACAATCGGAGAAGTGTGAAGGGGACTTCGTGAAGGTTATGGATGGAGATTGTTCGGCTTTCAAAGCTGAAACTCGATATTGTGGAAAACAGGAACCTGCCCCATTCTTCTCCACCGGAAACAAACTCTGCGTCAAGTTCTTTTCTGACGAGTCTCAGACAGCTCAAGGATTCAGTGCGAGTTATGAAGCTGTGGACAGACCAACTAACCCTGGAGGTAAGAATGGCAGTTAGAAATAGCACATCTCATCACCAAAAGAATACTCGTGTGTTTCGGTAAGGTACTTCCTAATTAATATTCGGCTTGTGGACGCGCGGCCGTCGCCTATCCATCTAGGTTTTCGTACATGCGTGCCGGCGGCATCTTCAAACATTGCTACGAAGCCACTGAGTTAAAACCTCTCTATATCTTCAGTTTCTCTCGATTGTTGGTCTTAACGTTGCATGAAACACTGTAACATTTAGTACGAGTTTTCTCGAAGCCTTCGTGAAGGATTTTGGATTAAAGGTTTTGATATTACATTAGTCACCGTCCGCGACAACAATGACAATTACGCACTATAGTCAACAAGACTTGAAATACCAATTTCTAAATCAGAATTGATAGCCAACTGAGGGACCGCTCATTATTTATAACCTGGAGGGGTCGGAGTATTTTGGTTGTGTCACAAAAAAATTAACTTTATCCCCCTTCCCTCAAGGCTCTGTAGTATTCTTATGATCATAACATGTTATCCCCTCATTGACGGTCAATTTCCTATATATCCCCCCCCTTTACACTATGTTATTAATGACTGATCCCCCCTCTATCCCACCTGAAAACCTTGTGATCCTCAAACATCCTTCGATCCCCGGTGATAACAACTGTTCCCTTACATATTTTTTTATTAATGATATAGGAAAAAACAGAATGAAACAAGCTTTACTTTCGTTTTACCTTAGGTAAGGCCTCGGCTACAATCCCTACTCAATAATCAAAAGCCAACTCATATATATTTTAAAACGACTATTTTAGATAAAGCAACTTGATACTTGATACCATCCTGTTCAGAAGGTCTTTTTGTCATGAAAATCATCACGAACGTTTCTTTGCAGATCAGTGTGGTGCTACTCTGACGTCACCAGTTGGTTTGATTACGTCACCTAACTACCCAGAGCCTTATCCAAGCAATGAAGAATGTAACACCACTATTAAAGTCGTTAAGGGACCAATCAAAGTTGCTTTCCAAGCATTTAACGTAGGAAATGCAAAGTAAGCAAATATAATGCAAGCTACTATTTCCCAGATATTGGAAATCTTATTCTCGCATAGCAAGGACGGTTATTTGGCTTAATTCTTAATGTCAAACGATTCAACATTTGGTCAATATACTTAGATTGTCCTGGTGAGGGAAGTACTTAAAAGGACTTATATTTAAGACTTTGACTGACATTCCGAGCACTGGAGCAGAAGACCCCAGAAGAGTCAAGATAAGAGCCCTCATGTCAACTGACTACCATGAGTCTAGTTCGTGGAATCTGATTGGTCAATTTTTCCTTGACTCCATCGGTTAATTAATTTTTAGCAATTCAACAGTTCAATCATATGGTTTATCGTGCGGGTGAGGGTAGTCTTCAGAAGGCTTCTATTTCACTAAATGACTTTTCGTTTGGCTTGTGCAAAGTGATTGGTCAGTCTTAGCTTGATGCTGTTGGCTGTAAGACGTAGGTGGCGCGTGTGCGGGATGATGGGTCAATTACGATGAGGTGAAGTCAAGTCGCTCTGTTAGGTTGGTTTTTTTTTGTTCATGTCATGAAGAAGACGCTAGCATGGTACTTAAATGTTCATTCTTCGTGCATCATATTTGAGACGCATGTCTGTCATGCAAGCTCTTGTATCCTCTGTTTTCCTAATCGGTAAAACTGATTGTTATTCTGCAATAATACAGCTTTTTTCTATGCATTTTCATAGTTGCGAAGATGATTATGTAGTGGTAGATGAACCTGTCCAGGGGAAAACAAGAAAGCTTTGCGGAAATCAGATTCCACAATCATTCAACATTTCGTCAAACGAGCTCAAGATTGCTTTTAAGTCAGCGGAGCGCCTTGGTAGGCCCAAACCGGGATTTGTAGCAACGTACACATCAGGAACCACACCAGGTCATCTACAAATATTGAAAACTAGATTTGCTTCAAAATTTTCACTATGTTCTTTCAAAAGTTTTAATCATCAAAACTAAGTTCTTGGGGCAGCTACTGAAGAACTCATGGCGATTTAGACCGATAGACATCAAATTAAACTTCCCAAATTTAACAGTTTTAAAAATTTCATTTAAAAACATTTCTTTCGGCCGAGAAATCACAAGTTTTAGGATATTTTATACCTACCTAAAGTCTGTTAAGATGAACAATTTCAGACTCTCGTTTCTTTCCATCATTAGACGAAAATCGAATATTTACAATGCTCATAGTTATCATGACTCCTCTTTCAGATGAAATACGAAAGTCAGTGGGAAATGCAGGAATTAAAACTTTTACTTCTAAACTAGATCAAGGACTCATGGCGGATGCAGTTACTAGAGGTGATACGTTTTCGTGTTTTTCCTTGTAGAACTTTTTCCCAAGGCAATATAGATTTTTTTAACTGCAGTTAGGAATGATCTCGTTCCTATTTCATTTTAAAGATTCTCACATTCTTGATTTTCGCTCAATACGAATATTTTCTGGGTCGCAGTAGGCGACTGACCTTATTATTGCATTATCATGATTTTTCGGCTCTGTCCTTTTCTGAGTTTAATTAAATTTCGTGTAACCATGGTAAGGCATTTGGCAAAAGACTCGTTAATAGAAAACATACGACTAAGGCATACTCTTTAATTCTTGTATCTTAACCTAAGTATCTCAAATTAGTATATACTAAAACGGGGGATAGCGTTGAAGGTGCGCTCTGATTGGCTAGTCAAACTCCGAATATCCTTTGCTATTTATGTCCGAGCAACTCGGGAAAAAATGGCGTCCCGGTTTGCATCCGTGTCAAGCGAAGAATTCACTTTGGTGGTGTATATTATCTCACTGCTTTAGTATATAATAAAACAACTATTCACCTCAGTGCCGGTGGCTAGCGGTGGATATTTACCGAGCCGCGAAGCGGCGAGGTAAATATCCACCACTAACCACCTCCACTCCGGTGAATAGTTGTTAATTATTAAATTCAGATCGTCCCGACCCACCAATGTCATTTTTAATTGTTCTGTTGTGCTATGTCGAAATAGTTTTCTACTGAACACGTCAGAATATTATTAAGGTTTATTAACATCTGATATCTATCACAGAAAATATTCCGAAACCTTCCAGTACTGGACTTCCGGCAGGGATGGGAGTAGACTTCTTACCTGTTTCAAAACAAGACAGCAAAGAAGGTATTTCCGGTATTTCCGGTATTTGTGTACGTTGCTTCTTGTCTTAAATCGCGGTCCCTCTAAGACAATGATCATTGCTTCGTTTATCAAAGATTAAAAACAGCTGTCTTCAGCCTCAGTAACAACGTGATAACTTAGTGTGATTTAATTGTTTTCTTCTTGATGATTTCTTAATCCTTTCGTTTTAAATTTTTTTGCGTGACGTTCTCCTCTTGTTCCTGGCGCGTGGCGTGTGCGAGCGGAGCCTCGTACCTCTCCCCTGCTCCATAATCTGTAGAGCTTCTACATCCTTCCATTTGCTTTTAAAAACTTGGACTCAATTTCATTTCCGTCGTAGTCTCAAAAGAAGAAGGAGAGGACATTGATGCTGGTGTCGGAGAGAAAGGTGAGTGGCATTTGTGGAATGGAAAAATACTTTTTATCGATTTCACTTCTGGAATGCTCCCTTTCATCCAGGTGCGTTACGTAGACCCCTACCCCTGAGAAACTCAAATTTATTATAACGCATCTCTGATATATGTTGAGGTTTTTTTGTTTTTTTTTTTAGAGAGAAAAAAATTGGAGATTAATGCAATTATTACTCAGTTTTCTACCTAGTAGATTTCAAGTTTTAAGAGGTTATTTCCTGGTGAATTTGAAGCAAGCACTGTTTGTTTTCATAGATAAGGAGAACATAGATGATGATATAATAACTAAGCCCACAAGTGGTCTACAAAGTGGTAAGTGTCCATTTCTCCAATTTTGAATCCAAATGACTGCGTAGAATCATAACTAGTAAACCCGGTTTCACTAAATAAGTACGCTACTGTCGTTAAAATTTTAAAGATAACTTTTAGCGTACACATGCCAATATTATTAATTGCAATTTTTTTAAAACAAAGCACTTAGTCAACTCAATGGTGACTCGAGTGGCAGTGGTAGTGCAGATGACCAAAAAGGCAACAAAACAGAAGCCAGCAACTCAACACTTGGTGGAGAGGATGACGTTCCACAGGATAGTGGGAAACAGAACCAGACTGCGGGTAACACAGTTTTCTCTTATCACTCTGATCTTCAAAAAATATCAGACAATGTTCTGCTCAGTTATATTTTGCTAAGTATAAACAAGAGAACAGAGTAAGGGTTTATGTGACTGACCTTGTCCACCGAAGAATCCACTGTGGTTCAGTTCAGCGCCAACTCGAAACAGATTTGGGATAGATTCCCCACGAAAGACTCGGATTTTACTTTGTCCCACACGCATAAAGAATGATAATTTTGTTTATGCTTGAATAACTTTTCTGTCAGAAAATAAGTTTTAGCTCTTACTAGCTAATAGATAGATACAATGATATTTATCGAATCTTTTTTGTCACCTAGTTAACCATAGCGACGATGTAACAAAGGAAACTATACCAGAGAACCAAGGTAGGGGCTGGTATCAGGGAAAGGGAGAGGTTTTGCGACTTGTGTAAGGGGAGCCATCCTCGATCTCCATATGAATGCAGATGTATGTTTTCTAGCTAAGCATGATGGCAAACTAAAAACATTGGCAGAAGTAGCAACATGTTGACATTGGTGCCTGTTAGAAATTCAGGTCAGCCCATCCAATACGACACGATCTCAGGAAAATTCTTATGAACTTTATTTTTCGCCTTGTTTTAGAAAACGCTGTCAATGAAACTGCCTCTAATAGCACTTTTGATTCCCAGATGAACGGTAACGTAACTCACAATTTTTCCTGTGGTTAAATTTATACATATGTGCGTTGATGATCTGCAAAATGCTTTTCGTAAACACTACTATTTTCATATAATGGAAAAGGAAAGACCCCGCCAGATACATCTTGCCTCAAGATGTTTCATCTTTTCCACCACACCGTATTACTGGCTTTACAAGTTATATTTCTTCCCGCAAGCTATATCTTCTCGTTCATTTCATCGTTTTCTTCCATCAATCTCTCATTTCATTTTCATTTTCTTGCACATTTCGTCCATTGTCACTCACAGAAACATCCAGTAACCAGACTCTTGCGGGAGCCCTAGCAGAAGCTATCAAGTCACATGGTATGGATTTTCGATTCACTCTTGACACTGTCGCTTCCAGTTATTTGGTTTCAAAACAAAAGGATCTAATTATCCAAGTATTTCGAATGCAATGAGCTGTATTGGATTCGCTTGGGGAGCAGGGATGGCGTAGTGATGAGAGCACTCACCTCCCGCTACTGTGGCCCAGGTTCGATTCCCGGACTTGGCGTCACATGAGGGTTGAGTTTGTCGTTAGGTCTCGTCCTTGATCCGAGAGTTTTTCTCCAAGCCCGAGGGTTTTCCTCCTCCACAAAAACCAAATTTCTATTCGACCTGGAAACAGTGGACCAGAAGAGCCACTTCGTGTAAGTTTCGCTGCTAAATCCCATTCTTATTTTGCTTAATATCATTATCAAATAATTTTCATCGAAACCAAAGGCACCTTCATACATAAGATGACTTCATATCCACCTACGTTATAGCTAGTGTCTTAGTGAGTACTCATGTTACGTTGGTACCGGGATTTTTCATGTCAGTAGCCGCTACTGACTTGACGGCTAATTGTATTTTATGGTGACGGGCAATGTGGCAATCAAAAAAGAAAAATAGAAACAAAAGAAGAACAATGACCAGCCACTCGCACTCGGCCTCAACAGTTTCATATATCCACAAATAAGAACAGATAGTGTCCCAGGGGTGGATAGCGCTTTCCATTAGATAAATCACTATCCAGTGGATACCACAGTCAGTTTGCTTAGCAGTTATCGGCTAGACAGCGATATATCCGTTGGATAGCGCTATCCGCCGTTTGAATAACGGGGCCTTTGTCTTCATTAGAGTAATTTGCCACAGTGTCTTCTTCCAAAAGTTTAAAAGTAGAAAGATCGCAACAGGACGGCGACATCGTCATGATGTCTTCTTTCAACCTGACAATGCAGAGAAGTTTGGTAATGATTATTCCTTCGTTCTTATTAACCGAGCGGGAGGCCTATATGGGAGAATCTTGACCGAGGTCGCCAGTACAGACCGAACGCAGTGAGGTCTGTGCCAGCGACCGAGGTCAAGACTCTCTTATACAGGCCGACCTAGCTCGGTTAATAAGATGTTTATTATATGGCTGTCTTGTATGCCAATTTTTTTATATTCTTTGTACCTTTTTTTTCAAGACCGGTCTAGATGTCGGTCTAGATGGGAAAATCTAAACCGCTTTCAATATTGATTTCAGCCAATCAAATTCGTGAATTCGGTAGTTCCCAGTCCTTGTGAGACACAGCCATATAATAAAAGGGGTTATTGCGTTTCATGCGAAAGCTGTTAATAAATATGTCTGAAATATCCATCCGTTTCCACTCAAACCAATTTCGGTTGCCGTGATAAATAATCCGAATACACGAAGAACTAAGCATTGATACCTTTACGATCAATGGTAATTAGATCGAATGGAGCTCAAGGTGGGAGTTTATGGCGGGCAAGTTTACCTTGAATTGTGCAAGTCAAGGTCCATTACTTACTCTAGATAAAATTAAAATGTCAACGATGAGAAATTTCAGGCGGAAGACCTTTTAACTTTCTGTGACTCTTGGTATATCTCGAACTCTTTGCTATCAGAACTAAATTATTTGTTATAAGTTTCACTTTTTAAATTTACTGAGTTGTTTCCTTTTCACAGAAAATGCTGAAAATATATCAGCAACCGATAATGTTCAAACTTTAAAGAATTCATCAGGTGAGTTAGTGTTTGGTAAATTACACATCCGCTTTTTTTTACTCCAACTATTTCTGGTGCTAGAATTTTACGAGAACCAATATTATCATATCACCGTGACAATAACTCACCCTCCGTGATCGATGTGAAATAAAAGTTGTGGTATGCACAAGGAGACCCTAGGCAAACCAGCTCTGTGTAAAGCATAACGCAGCTGTTAGTACAGACGTTGCACCTTTCGAATTATGGGACATTATCTCTCACGCTATCACACAATGATTATAGATTAACAATTTAGTATGAAGGCGAAAAGTAATCTAGAAACTTCACTTGTAAATTCCCAAGGCTTATAAACTTTCCAAGACTTTTGAATTTAAATGAAATTCACTCAATCACGTACAATTAAGTTAACCATTTTTGTTAACAGAATCAAATGATCTTTCGACTGTTAAAGACATTCCAGGAAAAGGGCTGGCCGGACTTATAAAGCCGATCCTCAACCAAGGTGAAATATTTCTCATCCTTCTTTATAACTTTGACATGTCTGACTTGCAAAGCAAGTCACTGTGTTTGATTACTGAAAAAAAGAAATTTATGGTATCTCAAGTAAGCAAATGCAACTTCTCTTTATAAAAATTCCAGGGTCGTGTCCACCAATCAAGTCTCTTAGCTGCCTGAACTTACTCTATTCATTTCCATGTTCAAATGATGATGATTGCATCGAGAATGGTATGACGTGCTGCAACACCAGATGCGTATATGGTAAAAAGATGTGTATTCCACGAGGTAGGTCGTACAAACTTAGCCGGATTAAGACAGCTTTCATGATTTATGATAAAGTGCCTATGCCAGAAATTTATATACAAGAGATCGTATGCGCGTACATTAGTTTAACATCTTTACCCGACTAAATCAGTAGAGAAAGACAAAGTTGCCATTTGCTTCTTTTGATACATGAAAACTACACTTTCATTTAAAGTGATAGTTCGAAAGAGCTTCCTAAATTTTGGCTCGTGTCCCTCAATTAAGTGCCAAGCTGTCTGACCTTTCATGACAGCAGTATTTCGAAGGAGCTACCTAAATTTTGGAATCGTTTTGATCTTGACCCTTTCCATTTTTAGGTTGAAATGATCCTCTGTTTTCCTAGTTTCAGCAGTTTGTCCGCTTAGAACTCCATATTACACTGGATTCCAAACATGCAAGGACTCAGGGGATTGTGGAACAGGAGGAGTTTGTTGCATGGACATGGCAGGAAGACACTTTTGCCATCAGCTCAGCTCGGTCGAATAAAAGCAAACAAATAAAGAGGAAACTTAGTTAACGAAAACAAGAGATACGCAGAAGCTCGGCATATCAGCATCTCAAGAGCAAGACCTTTTTCCTTAATTCACTCACGTTCACCTTGGACACATCAGTTCGGAAATATTTTGTGCTTTGCCTCAAGAAATATCGCCTTTCGTCTTTCGTCTACAGTTCGAAAGCAGCAGCTGGGAATCTGCAATTTCAAATGCTCAGACAAACGCTGAATCGTAACTCTGCTGAATATGTATATAAAAACCTATCAGTTGCCTTTAAAAAAAATGATTCCTTATTTTGAATATTAATCATTCTCTCAACTACGTTAAGATGTCCAGGCATTTTAAAAGACTAATCGATATAGACCAAGACTGTCACTCCCGAGGTGTAGAAATTCCCTTTATTACCTGCCTTACAATTCTTACTGTGAAGCAGTTTTGAAAATCTTGCGTTTAATCGAGCAGTGTAGTATAATATACTCCGACTTTGGTCATTCCGCTGGGAAGGAGGGGGGGGGGAAGGCTGGGTCAATAAGGGAGATTTACATCTGGTGGTCCGGTGAAAAGGTAACTTCATCCGATGTCTAAACGGTTTGGGGAAAATGATAACTCCTTAAAATAAATCCATCTGATATATATCATCACAGGAATACTTTCAATATAGGTTTAAAATTCATTGTAACATATGCTAGCGGGTCGCGCATCAAATGGATCACAAAAGAAATCACAAAGATATGTCAAATACATAAGTATATTTTATATCATAGCAAAAAATTTTTTTAATGTGAATATTCTGTCACTAAAATAGCATGTGATAGACTGGTACAGCCTCAAAGACGATGCAATGGTGTTTCATTCAAGGTTGACAACTACAAAATCGTTCCCACCGCTTTTTCGATAGAAACTTCGATTACATACGAATTTCACGATATTTTGCACATATATTTACTCACTTATCGAACCATGATCGTATCCACGAACCATAATAATTTCTTTGACATTTACTCATTTCTGGATGTAACAATGAGATTTGAAGATTATGGCAGTAAAATCGAAGATGATTAATTTATACTAGCTTTCTAAAACTTTACAGAAAAAAAATTACATTTCCTTTTTGACCTCATTAATTCTCTGTTTTAGACAACGGTCTCTAACACCTTAAAAAGTTTTGTTCAGTTCTGAACTTTAAAGAAAATTGAAAAGCCTAGTTTTTGAAGAACCACGCGACATTTTGCAGATACGTTTTTGCATCTGGAAAATACGCTTTGTGTGCTTGCCATTTCAGGAAGGAGAAAGGGGCAAAAGTTTCTCTGATCGACCAACAAACATTGAACATCGATTTGACGTGACAAATATCAATTATTTTGTTTAGCAGCGTGAGGTATGATTACACTGGGTTCAATCTGTTGCCGACACTACGTTTCGCCTAACTTAACTTCCACCTGTAGCTGTTGGCATGCTCGCGTTAGTTACGAACTTTCTTCCTTAAAAAATAATTAGCATCACTTGTGAAGTACGAATGATCAGCAAATATGATAATAAAAAAAACTCACTTTTTTCAAAGAATTAGACTCGTTGGTCAAGAGTACCTCAATTGATGGACACCTGCCTCGTAACTGTCTGAAAGGTAAATGCGTGCGTTGCTAGATTAGCAATCATTCTTCCTTGGCTTTTCTCAATTCCAAACTCAAATTAGCGAAGGAATTACCTAGAGAGCAAACCAATAACATGTACAGCGAAAAGCCAATATACATTACCGCTTGCGTCATGAAAATTGTACAGTAATATACAAGATGCATACAAATGAAATTGATAAATGAACAGTTGTGCACGTTATAGAAATTGGCAAGTCAGAGCCCGACCTAAAAGGTTTGCAGATCTTTGAAAAGAAGAAATCCTTAGAATTTACTCAATATCGTTAGAGTTGTTATTTTTCAATTTTAAAATAGCGAAGGGTTGTGGTAAGAATGTGAGTTCTCAGCTTAAGCATGACTCATTTGGAAACTGTGGGTGAGGTTCGAACCGCGCTATTCCATTCGACCTTTATCAATTGTATCTTTGAATCATTATTCCACACGGCTTAACAGAATGAGTGACATTTCACTATTTGGAAGCTTAATCCATTACCGGTGCCTTTGTTTTGTTCCAAAGAAGGAACTTGCGCCGATTTCCCTCGCAAATTGAACTCTTTCGTGATTACTTTCAGATTCAGTTTATGTGTGCGTCTACGAGTTCATGCTTTTTTAATCTTAATTGTCTTTGGTAACAAAATATTTTTAAGAGCATTCAACCATTAAAAATTAATTACCCTCGGCAAGAAAGTGAAATCGGAAATCCCAATACCCTCGTTCTTTACCTACATGAGAAACATGAACTGGATTTCCACATTTTCCAGGGAAGTCAGACAGTCTTCCGATATTCTTGTAAAGAATAGAGAAAATATCTGGAATTCAAAACTATACAGTAGTGCATTCATATCTAAAAGTCTTAACTTTCCATTCGAAACCGAAAGTATATACAGAGCACGTATTCAAAGAATTTGAATAGTTTCTCAACTAAATAGAAACGAGACTGTCATCTTTTATTTCCTCTTCAGCTCTCCTTTTATGGTGCTGTTGTTATCTAACCTCTTTCGAGTTACTTTTTTAACCCTCATAATTAATGAATGCATTCATTGCTGTCAAATTCTCAAAACAGATCAATAACTTAAGCAAAGTGACTTCGTTTCTGAAAAGCGCCAACGTAATCTCTCAACGTGCGCAGCAGAAGGTAAAGTCATGAAGAAAAGTCAGCGGCTGGCTGCTGGTGTCATTTGTGTCATTGTCCTGACAATCCTGAGAGTTTTTTTCACGATACTGTTCTTCATTGCCAGTGTCATTTGCATTGTACATGCAGAGAGCCGTGTTGAAAGGTGCGACGGTCACCTTACTCTCTCTCAAAAAGAGGTTGACAGTCTCAACACAACCAGCACCTTTGTGGAGACTTTCGTTTCGTCATTTCTCATTTTTCTCATCTTTCGATGGAAGCCATTCAACTACAAGAACTTTCTTACGGCCCTTCCAAGGCAGGGAAACTTCTGGATGTGGACTGCGCTGTGGATTGCGCGAATTTTCACAAACGTTCTGATAGGAATTATTCCAGGCCTTCAACAGAACTACCCGGTTCTGATCATCCTTGGTTTTTCGTTGCCATTGGAATTCGCTGCGACAACAATTTTCGCTTCTGCGCTGGCATTTGTAGGTTTTCGCGATGTAAAAACCTGGCTGCGTCAGCACTTTCCCACTACAACCGCGCGCTGGTTGACATACTTGTATAGAGCACTTTTGTTTACATATGGCCTTCGAATGCTCGCCTTATTTCTGTACGACTCGTTTCTGGTAGCGAGGCATATTACTCGCGAAAGTCAGTACCGGGAACTCGATAGTATTCTCCTAGCTTTGGATGTATTCTACAGAGGGAGTTTGTGTGTCTTCTTCTTCCGGAAATTTTTTGAGTTCCCCATACCAGATGTCTTGCAAGAATCTCTCGATAATAAGAGGCCTAAGGAAACGGATGAACAGTTAAGTAAATGTAAAGAGAGTTTTCGTTCCAAGGTACCGGAAAAACAGGAGGATCTAGAAGTAGACGAAAAAAGATTTCACTGTGCGTTCAATGGATCAGATGTTCTTTCGGAGAAAGATTTAGATTTGGGGCATATGGAGAGAGAAAACAGCGCCACAACTGTTAAATAGATTCAAAATCTTAAAAAGAGGATAATTCAAGTGGAAGGAAATGAAAATTTATGTTATTTCAATTCATGTAAATTAGTGAGGGCTACGACTGACTAACGTTTTACAATGCGAAGAGGCTGAGTTAGGTTTTCATAGTAACCACTTTCTTGGTATTTAGGAAATCTTTCTCTCTTCGATCGTTGTGTGCGGTGAAGTTATCTTTGATGACTTCCCTTTGTTCTCTTTACTTCTAGAGAGTAGAAGTCTTTTGATAGAGATTTAAAACCATTTTGGGCTCAGCCGGTTGAATTTTATTTTATTCCTCCGAATAACTGACTTAGTGCTACGTGTAAGTCAATATAAGAAATAACACCAATACACAGAATTTTTAGGAAAATAATTTGAAATTCTCATAGAAATCTGAAAACGGGAACGGGTATCCTGTTGATTAACCATTTTTGTTTTGAGCTTTATTGAAAAAGTTATACGCTTTTAGAACATAATGATTCGATCATTGGCTTGTGTGTATCCTGCGAGATGGCTACACATAACCCCAAGCAAACGGCAAGCCCCTCGAAGTAGTTTCTAGTTCTAAAATCCTCGGACTGAATATAAGGAATGATCTCAAATGGAGCGGACACGTCTATGAATTAGTAAAGAAAACTTCTTCCCGCCTTTATTGCTTAAGGCAACTTAAGAGATCGAGAGTTCATCCGAAAGAACTCATTCTATTCTAATGTACGTGTATCCGGTCCCTTCTGGAATGTGCTTGTCCAATTTTCCACCATGCACTACCAGCTTATCTGGACGGCGATTTGGAAAGTCTACAAAGACGCGCTCTTCGGATCATTTACCCTACCTTGTCTTATGCTGAAGCCCTCAGCGCGTCAGGATTACCTACACTATCTAGGAGAAGTGAAAAAATCTCCTCGAAACTCCTCGTCGAGATCTCTACAAATGAAAGACACAAATTACGTTCACTTTTTCCAGAAGTGAACGTATCTACTTACAACCTTAGGAACCAAAGACCATATAAATTACCAAGATGTAGGACTGAACGTTGCAAGAACAGTTTTATTCTGAGTCACGATTTTAATATCTAGACATTTTATTGATTGCATTCGTATTGTTAATTATATATTATATTATAGGGTCCTTATAGTTTTTCTTATTGTACTTAGATATATATATATAACAAGTTAAAAGGCCTCGAGCCAACAGTGACGCCGCGCCAGAAGGATCCAAAAGGATTCACAGTCCAAACCTCGATAAATGGTAGGAGAAGTGGGTTATCTTATCGAGGGTTTTATTAGGACAGACGTTTACTCATAGCCAACTGATAGTCACCTGTATCTCCCACCATCAAGTGCTCATCCTAAACACGTTTTCAAAGCTATCCCTTATATTGTGGCGACGAGGTTACAAAGAAATTGCTCCGAACAAGCTTTTCTTGTCCAGAGAATAACCGAATACAAGGGTTATCTGGTTACTCAGGGTTACCCTTCCAAATTAGTGGACGACCAGTTTCGTAAGGCCTCTACCATACCTAGAAGTGATCTACTTAGGACTCATGCCAGATCTAAGAGGAAATTATTCCCATTTGTGACCACATTTAATCCAAATTTACCTGATGTAAGTCGCATCAGTAAAAAACATCTGGGTATTTTGGAATCCAATCCCAAGTTAAAAGAGCTTTTTCCTTCAAATTCCATCATAGCATCCTTCCGCAGATCTAAAAACCTTAAAGAATTGTTGGCGCCATCCCGGTATGGCCCTAACACTGAAAGCGAAGGGGTTGCCAAGGTCAAGGGATGTTTTAAATGTAATAGAACAAGATGCGATCTTTATCGCAACTTCTTGGTTGAATCTAATTCCTTTCTAAGTTTTCAAACAGGCAAAACTTACAAGATACGATCGAAACTTTCCTGTGATTCTAAGAACATAATTTATTTGGCTTCGTGCAAGAAATGTCGCCTACAATACATTGGCTCCACAACAAATGACTTTAGGGTTAGATTTCGCAGCCACAAGTCTGCTATGGTCACTAAGAAAAAGACCTGTGAAGTAGCGGTACATTTTAACAAAACACCATATGATTTAAGCGATTTCTCATTCCAATGCATTGATCAAGTGCAATGAGAGGGTGCTTGTGTATTTGTTTCAGCGTAGCATGTGGGAGAGAACCTGGTTCTGACAGCCTGAAAGCACAATGTCGAGCCATTTCTTAATCATTTCAATGTTTACACATGTGCAGACACTGACTACTTTGTTTCCTGTTCCAGGTCCTGGAAAGGCCCTCGTAGGCCTTATAGATTGTGGTAGTAAAAGTAGTATATTATGCTACTAGCAGTGCCCGATTTTTTTCAAAATTATGCTTGAAATTATGCTCGTTTTTGAAAATTGTGCTACCTTTTCTTAATGTAGGCTTAAAAACAAAAGTCACAAAACTAGTTCAAAAGCTAAAATTATATATTCATTGTTCATAAATCATCATATTTTCTATATCTTGAGTTATACACTTGCTGTCTTGATGACTCGGCTTCTCCCGACTGAGTGCTTCGGTAATGGTTTGCTTTGGTAATGGTTTGCTTTGGTAATGGTTTGCTTTGGTAATGGTTTGCTTCGGTAATGGTTTGCTTTGGTAATGGTTTGCTTCGGTAATGGTTTGCTTTGGTAATGGTTTGTTCACTCAACTTCGACTTCTTGATCTTTTCTTTCCCACCGGCGTGTTTTTTGGAAGCGCAATGGGATGACAAAATGCTTTTTTATTTTTTTAAGAAACAACTTCTCTGCAAGCAATGTAAAATATCGTGTTGCCTCTAACACTTAGATAATGACCTGGAAACTGATTGATGTGATCAAGTAAGGGGACTTCTTTCACGTCAGATGCCCCCCTGGTCTTGCATTTGCTGTTGGTTTTCTTCAGGCTCCGATCTCTAGAAATTTGAGCAGGTACTGTTCTCCTTCTAAGCTAGGGCTGTCCCTAAGTTGCTCCAATTTTCTCAAAAAGTTGCTCCAATTTTCCAAAAAAGTTGCTCAAAAGTTGCTCCAAAATTCTAAAAGTTGCTCAAAAGTTGCCCCAAAATCCAAAAGTTTCTCAAAAGTTGCTTTCTATTTTTGGGTGTAAGAGATTGATTTACAACTCAAATAACGATTTAATTAATAAATTTCGCTTAACGCAACCACGTGATTGTATTCGAACAAAACAAACTTTGCTAATATGCTTATTAAGGATATAAAGTTTCTCTGACATAAACGAGTGTTTGTGGTATAAAGCCATGTTCTTTCAATATTTACAATATTTACACTGTCCCTGAAGGTTTTGCACCACCAGCTACCCCTCTACCGACACATAATTCATGATTTCATGTGCGCTTATTGTCATTGTAACGTAACATGACCGATGTTTCCACTGTTTCCTCTAATGCTGCCTCTTGCTGCTTACTAAATGCATTTTGTAGCAGGCTAAACACTCGTTCAGCCGATGCTGAACTAGGCTGCACCAACAAGATCTTTTTGACTGCAGCAGACCAATTTGGGAGAGCAGCGGCATGTGTAGCCCACCAATGTACTTTGTCTTCTTCTGTTTCAATGGCTGCACCATCAGCAGTGGCCAGATAGTTTGGCAGCTCTTCCACAAGCTGTACAACCTCTGCATCAGTAATGAAACTAAATTGCTTTAGGTCCTGGACTGATACAGCAGTTGGACGTAGTGCTTGCACCTGTACTGGGCAACATAACCGTGCAGCCTTAAATGCACGAACAACATTGTGGAACTGCACACTGAATTTCTGTTGGTAAAAGCGGAAGCCTGGATTGATGCATGCCTTTCCTTGGGCAACTAACTGGTTGTACAATGCCATATTTCTACCTGCATGTTGGCGAGCTTTGGCCTCAGTGTTTGGATAAGAGTCAATGGCTATTGCATGTGCTAATGCAGACAAACGTTCATAGCAAGCAAATACTAAGGGACCATCCCCCTCAAGATAATAAGTTGCTTGAACAAAGTGCTTGCCCGCATCAATCATAGCAGCAAGCTCAATGTCTAAGTCTCTAGCAGTAACTGGATCATCAAAAATCTCCAACAGGCTTGCACGGCAAACAGGAGACAGGTTATCATTTTCTCTTAGGAAGGGCTCAACGTCCCCAAAAAACTCCATTACCTGATTGAGGACTTCCCATTTGCTCCACCATCTGGTTTTGGAATGAAGTCGCATCGCTGTGCCAGTTCTTGTCTTCCACAACAGCCGGGCAGCTGGACTTAGAGAAAACATGGTGTTCCAACACCTAGAAAATGTGTCTAGGACACTAAATTCAAAGTGTTTCCCAACATTGTCGATTGTGTGTGAGAAACAGATGACATTAAAAATATTGGGAAAGAAAAACATGACTTGACGCAATCCAGCCTCATTTACTGAGGCACCATCTCTCATTGCTGCTAGAAGCTGGTTCGGCTGTATTTTATACTCCACAGCCAAGCACTGAATCAGTCTTTGAGCAAGCTCTTCCCCATTCATGCTCTTGGCTAGAACTTCAAGTTTGAGAAGCCTCTGCTGTATATTCCAATCTTTGTCAATGAAGCGAACCACAATTGCCAACGCTTCACCAAGCCTGGTGCTCCCATCAAAGATCACAGAAAAAGCACTGTTGGCAGCTATTTCGGATTTCACAAAGTCTATCTCCTTCTGATGAATGGTGGGAATGAATTCTGTGAGATGGCTCCGAGTTGTCAGGCGATGACCATATTTTTCAAGAAATGGTCGCAAACTGTCGACTTTTGAAAGAGGGATACCTGCCTTCAGCAACGCTTCCACGAGCTCGTATCGATAGAGCCTCATGTCTTCGGGTAATGTGTATCCTCTTGCTCCTCCGCTTGTTT